GTCGGTTGAGAATCGAGGCCAAAACGCTCAGTGTACTTCTGGTGCACTGGCTTCCGTTTGGGGCAGTACCTCTGCTACTAGATATCCAGACAGTGTGTTCCCAAAGACAGCAGCCGCGATGGCGAGGTGTGTGACCCTGGGCCACCAAAGCACATGGGGGCAAGAGCCATGAATTCAGGCCTCTCTGAGTAGATGACCACAGGGACATCAATGTGCCCCCAGGCAATTCCAAGGGGCAGCGACAGAGCTGGTGGGTCAGGACGCAGATCTTGGCACAGTTGCGTGGGGGAATGTAGGGCTTCTAAGGAGTGGGGAGAGCCCCCTGTCCTCAGAGGGGTTCACACTGAAGTTGGCAGCTCTAACAAACGGTAGTGGTCTGGGTAGGCGGGTTCAGGATGTGAATGTGGTAGTACTCTATTTGATTTTGCCTGCAAAGCGGAGACTCCAGGATTTTGACCAACCTGCTCTGCCCTTCCCTACAGGGAAGGGAAACCCCTTAAGCTGTGGTTATACTGGGAGGCTCTATCTAGTCCTGGGTCTGGTGGGGAAGCAGGGGCTCTCCTTGAAGAGTGAAGGAGGCCAGGTGGCGGTGGCACACGCCTTTAATCCCAGCACTTGGGAGGCAGAGGCAGGTGGATCTCTGTGAGTTAGAGGCCAGCCTGGTCTACAGAGCGAGATCCAGGCATCAAAACTACGAGGAGAAACCCTGTCTTGAAAAACCAAAAAGAAGAGTGAAGGAGAACATAGTACCTGGCCTAGCCCGTCTGTCCTTAAGTTCTACACAGGGATTATTCAGGGAGATCAGTGTTGAAATGACCCCTCCAGGCTGCAACACTCTGTCTTCATGGCCTTCTAGGCATCTGTGTTGTGAGCATTCTCACTTAGAGGAGAATTGACCCCATGTGTCACATGCTATGTGTGAGGGTAGAAGACAGAGGACAGAGGGCCGATGCCATCCTCTGCTGTCCAGGACATTATGTTTGCCGCTGTGTCCTTGGCTGCCATCTCCAAGGGAATGTATGAATGAACCTGCCCACCACGCTTGCACAAGGGTGGTCAGGAGTCCGTGGGAAAGGCAGAATCTCGAGTCTCTCTCATTTAACCTTGGCTTCCAACTTCTTAAGAAAGGAGACCAAATGGCCCCCAAAGAGCCACCAGGCACCAGGCGACCATCTGAGATGGCAGGCACACCTCTAAGGGCATAGCTCTGCCCCTAGCCTGGAGGAGGGGATACCTTGACCATGCTGCTAGGAAGGTCATCCTAGCAGAGATGGTTTAGTCTCCAAAGGAGGAGGGGTTTCCTCCTTTGGAGACTAAACCTTCTTTAAAGTCAGGGCCCTTAGTGAAGAGCTAATGATGGCCCATGGCACACTATCAGGCTCTCTATCAGCTTTCAGGTCCTTTCTCTTTCAAACTCTCCGACCAAACTTAACAGTTAAGGGAACCCATGTTTAGAGGTCATGTGGCATCGATCCACAGGCCAAACAGGTCACTCATAAAACCCTGAGCCCAAAATAACTTGTGGGTTCAATGTTGAGAAGAAAAATAGTGAAATAAGTTGTTACTGATCCTATAGACAAAACAATTTTGCAAGTGACCTCCAAGTGTCTCCACATGGCCCTGGGGGCAGAGCAGATCTTGGCTAGGGGAGGAGTCAGCATCTCTTGCTACCTCTCACCTCCAGGACCCAGACTCCTAACCAACATCAGGAGGAGCAGACACATACACACAATGCACATGACCTCATGTGTGCTCACATACACACAGCCATAAACCTCCCTAGTATACACACACACACACACACACACACACACACACACACACGACATAAAAAAACACTTGTGAAGAACACACATAAACCACACAGATCATTACCACAGCACAAACTGTGTCCACAGTGCTGAGGGGATGGGGTAATGGAGTGACAGGGGGCGGACAGGGTAAGACACGCTGCCTGGGAACGATGCTTCCATGCAGAGCTTGGGGCGGGGTGGATATGGAGCCTTCCCAGCTAACCCTGCGGCGGCAGCACTGGGAGGTGGGTGCCAAGGATTGTCACTGCCTTTCTCCTTTATCACCCCTGCTTCTCTTCAGCGCAGACCCAGGCCCATTATCTGCCTCCTGGGAGGGCTGGGAAGGGTGCTGTGGAAGGGACAGAGGAGGGAGCAGGGGAGTAGGGTCTGTCGCCTAAGCCTCCCTAAAGGCCCATCCATCAAGCCATCGGAGATAATCAGTGCTCAGCTGGTTCAGGACACTGATGACTCTCTGGGCACCACAGACACAAAGAATAAATCCAGGAAGGGGCTGTGTAGGAGGTATCTGGGTAGCAGGGCTGCTGCCTTGCCTGGGAAGGGAGAGAAGGCCCATCCATCATTCTGAGAGATGCAGCAATCTAGGCCAATGAGATGTCGACGCTTCAGGGCGGGGGTGGTGGGCAGTAATAATAAAATCATCTCGTGCGCTGTGTGGATGCTCCGTCAGTATCTTATTTACACTTGGGAGATGCCTGTCCCTGCCTGTGCTCCAACTGAGACCTCCAGAGAGGCTGCAGAATACAGCCACCATAGATGTAAACTCTCCTGGGTAGGGGCCCTTTGTGATCACTGGGCAACCCCTGGATTTGGGAAGGATCCAAGCAGGCCCTAAGCCTGCTTCTTCTAGGGGCTTTCAAGTAGATCCCAGTCTGGGATGATTCCAGCTGGTGTCTGGGCCACAGGGGCCACATTGCGATTCAAGCTAATGGAGCATGGACAATCTGAGGGTCTGGGAGGAATTTCTCCTTGGCTTCGAAGCCGATCAGATGACTGTGTTTCAGCCTAGCTAACGTCCTAATTAAGCCAGTGGAGCTGTGAGGCCAGAGTCCACTGGGTGACCTGGAGGGTCATGAATGCCAGGAAAAAGCTCTAGATCTGAGTGACCCTGAGAGGGGCAATATGTTCATGTCCTGTGCAGAGGCCATGGTTAGTCTCCAGCCACAACATGGGGAAAGGTCTGAGTTTTCTTCTGCTCCCAGGATTGTCTCTGCTGGGCTTCTCCAATTCTTTACCCTGCTGCAACCTGCTGCACCCTGCTGCATGGCTGAAGATCCCAGGCCCCAGGGGATGCACTGTCTCTACTCCAGCTCCTGATCCCCAGCCTTCCTGGGATAGTGGAAGCAACTGGTCCTTTCATCCCAAGAGATCAAAGCTTCCTACACAGATGAACACCCTAAATCCGCCCCTGCAGAGGCCCCTCCCTTTCCATCTTTTGGGATCCCTAGGAGACAGCAAGACATGTCATAACCTTCTGGACCCACCCATGATCTGTGCCAAACCCAGGAACCTTGATACCTGTTGGGAAGTTCCCTGGGAGAAGCCAATGCTCTGCCTCATGTGTCTGCATGGAGCATGGTGGGAGGCCCCCACGATGGCACTCACTGGTAATGTGTAGACTCAGGGATAAAAGAATAACATGATGTCTATTCCATTCCAGCACAGCCAATGAACACTCCTGAGGTCCAGGAGAGGGAGGGACATGAGAAGGGGCAGGATGGTCCAGGAACATATTGATTGCATTTCTAAAACTTCCAACGTAGCTAAAGGACACCACAGGAATAGCACCAGGACTCTTGAAGATGCAACGCTCCTGGGCCATTGCAAACACTGGACAGGCTATGTGGGGATCCTCAAAGGGATACAGATGTAAGCAGTGGAGAGCTATGCACAGGAGTTGAACCACTCTTAACGTACTGTCTTGTGACTATTCCAGGCTTAGCAAACAGGCTCCTCCACCATTTGCCCACAAAGCCCTGGAGGAGAAACAGTTCAGCCAAGTGGAAGCATCATGGACGTTGGGTCCGACCTCCTAGACCTGAACTCTGGCTCTGCCACTCATCAGCTGAGTGACCACAGGCGAGTCACCTAACCTGTCTGGGCCTCATCCTTACATATATAAAAACAGGCACACCACATCTACCATGAACGAATATTCACATGATCTGTGATGGTCATGAAGTCACTAACCGGTGCTGCCAGCAGTGTCCGGCACCCAAGGATCTCTAATACAAGTTTGCTCATGCACCTATCTATCCACACAGCAACGCTCCTAGTCGACTATGGAGCTGGCTCTGTGTTAGGCCCTGGGAAGACCAAGAGGCACTCTTGGCTTTGTGAAGAAGATAAATCCCAGGTCCAAATAACTACGAGACACTGATGAGGTACGGGAAGACTTGGAGAGAAGTTATACACAGCCGGAGGGCAGACCATGAAGGTTTCATGATGCTATTAGCTCAAATTTAGTGTTTAGAATTAGTCTTTAAAGGAAAGAGTGAATAAGGTGCAGAAAGAGCATGTGCAAAGGCCCTGAAGGGGGAAACACGCTTGGCATGAACAGAGGAGTGTGGAGTGTGCAGGCGAGGCCAGCGGGCGATTGCAGGGAGGGAGCAGCCATCATATGCTCCTGGGCTGATGAGTGTCCTTCTCAGGTGTATTCTGGGTGTGTGGGCACTGGAGCCAGGAGTTAGGGCCCGATGCAAGCCAGGAGCTGCAGGAGCTGCTTCACCAAGGATGTGCTGTCATCAGGGCCCACAGCAGTGTCTGCAGCACCGGCCTGGCCCTGAGGCACCTTCTCTAACACTCTTCATAGCAGCTGACTGGGAGAGGTGGACACCGGCAGTGTGGTGCCTCCCCATCCCAAGTGTCACTTATATAGCACAAGAGGCTTGGAGGGGCTCACAGGGAACGCCCTGGAGCCATTACTGGCCTCTTGCCCTCTTCCCTCAGTGCAGAGTTGACTGTGTCTGCCCAAACAGATCAGGCTTCCATCTACACTGACTCATCTGGAGGCCATACCAGCTCACCTGCCAAAGTGTGGGCTACCCTGCATGACCCTCTTATGGGAGCAGGGCAGACCCGGGAGCCCCAGTGTGCTCACACCAGTTATTTGGGTCTGGCCTGCATTTTCCCAATAAGCGTGGGGCGCCAAGAAGGATCTTGGTTGTTTTCCATTGTGACATCTATGGAGCCATGCTGGTGTTCTGGTATGCTGGGCTTCGGGTGGGAAATCTAACACAGGAACACAGGCAGAACAAGGTTGCCTGTCCATAGTCACTAGAGCCTGCTGGGAAACACACAGACCCGTCTTTGGGGGATGAAACTTCAAGGTGGACTCTGGTCAAGGTACCAACTCCAGGGCGGAAGTGGGACATGAAACCTTGCCAAGGCTACTAGATGGTTCTTGGTCGAAGCGGGCTCTTTCAGTCTTGGATGAAACTCTAGTTAGAGATGGGGGAATTGCTTCTGCCACAGGGTCTCTACATCTTTATTCTCTGCTTTTTGGATAGAAAGACAGGCCAAGATTTAGGTCAAGGCCGTGGAAGGCTCCAGGTTGTATCTCTGCTTCAGTTGCATGTGCAGTTGGTATGATGTCCCTGTCCCTAAGGTCCCTCATCCATGGAATAATGATGGGTAGAGCCTACAGTCAGCTCCTTTCAGAGAACAGCCCCAGGGAGGAAGCTGGGTCTTCTCCCCCGACAGGCAGGGGACAGAACTGAGAGTTCAGCTGTTTTCCAACTCTGAGGCGCATGCATTCCAGGACTTTAGGGGGATGGTCTCCACTTAAGCCCACTGATGGGCCTCAATCTCTCAACGGGACATTCTTGTGCCCATGGCCAATGGCCCATTTTGCTTCCTGAACCACGTCTGCAGCTGTGTCCCCAAGGAGCCCCGAGCCAGCAGAACTAATGTCCTCTAATGAGTCGGGCCAGAGTGGTCAGGCGGGTTTTATTGTCTGTGGCTGGGTAATGAGACTCCTCATAAACTGGGAGTGATTTGGGGTCTGTGCAAATCACACAGGCTAGAGGTGGCGGGGGTTGCCCGGGCAAGGGAGTTGACTCAAAGTGCCGAATTGTACCCCCAAACCCCTCTTGGGTTCTCCATCCATCCCATGATGCTTCCTGGGCTCCTGCTTTCTGCCTGAGCCAAGCCCACACCCTGTCCTGGCATGCCCATGCCCTGGGGCTCCACGCTCACACCTCAGGGCCCTGCCCTCGTCTCAGCCCACATTTCCAGGGGAGGATGCTCACTGCCTCCCTCTCCTTCACCGCTCCACTGTTAGGCATACCCTGTGCCAACCTGAGCTCCGTGGTCCTCTCCAGCAGCACTTTCCTGTTTCCCGCTTACCTCTGCCCGGAGCTGCCATACCTGCTGCAGGGCAGGAAGGTGGTAGCTGACAAAGTCAATGACTATACCATGGACACGATGGTGACCTGGCTCAACCCCTTCTGTGTGCCCATCCCAGCTCGTTCCTTCTTTCCGGTCTACCGGATTCACCCTCAGAAGCCCTGATTTGGCCACACGAGCACGGGATAGGCAATAAGTCACCAAACTAAGATTCACTTTCCTTGTCTGGAAAAGGGAACAATATTGATTCTAACACAACTCGTGTGAATTCTAGCTGAAGTTCTGAGTGGAGAGTGGTACTGACCACATAACACAAGGGTTCCATCTGCATTATTTTCATGACAATTCAGTGGAAGTGTTCCGTCTGCAACCGGAGACCCCGGAGAGAAGGAGGGAACCCCAGGAAGGACTCTCTTTACCTGGCCTCTACCACCTCACCAAGAGCTGTTCCCTTCCCTCCCCTCAGATGTGAGTCCCAGGCTCTCCCTGCCAGCCCCAGGCTGCTGCCTCTGCAAGCACCTCCAGATGGGCAATGGCGCCCCAGCTGGGCCGCAGCCAGGGAGCGAACCCAGTGCCTGGAGGGCCCTGGGCAACATGCTACAGAACAAAGGCTGCCCAGCACCTGCTGCCTGTGTAGTACTTGGCCTCCACAGGACTGGCCTGGGCAGGTACCTTCAGCCAGTCAGGCCACCCGAGTCCTCCCACCATGCCAGCAGCTCCCAGGTGGCTGCAGCATCAGGTCCAAATAGGGGCAGGGACTCCCTCCCTTAGGAGAAAAGGGAAGTGAGGCTGGCAATGAGCAGGCAGCTGAGGGGCCTTCTCTAAGGAGAAGCATAAAGGTGGGAATGCCCAATGAGCAGACCCAGAAAGGCAGGGCCATTCAGAGGAAAGACATGGGGAGAGAAGCCCCGGGCTCTTCATTATTTTGTGTTATCACATGCTATCCTTGAGCTAAGGACTTTCCATTCATCATTCTCCACCTCATCTTGAAATCTTGAATATCATATCAACAAAGTTCCATTTTGCAGATAGGAAAACTAAGGTGTGTGCAGCAAGCAACTCTGCTAAGGTTTCTCAACTAGTCATCAGTAGAGCTGGGACTCCAACCTAGCTTGGCCAGTTTTGTTATGCTGGGCCACCAAGATGGGGTGAACACCTGGTTACAGGAGAAGGACAGCTAAGTGACCTGCTTCTCTGCCCTCTATTGAGAGTCTGAGAAAGGCACAGCTGCCATGCCCTACCCCTGGAGAATAAAAACCTATTCCCTTCTGCATTTCCCGGGATAAAGATTACCTACCCATTGCTCTCAAGACCCTGCATTCTGCTCTCACAGACTCTCTGGGTCTGTCTTGGATCTCTTCTGTTACACTGGGTTCGCCTCTATGTGTGGAAGGGTCAAGGTTCTGGTAGCAGGTCTGACGTCTTGACTCCCATTTCTGCCCTTTCCTCTTCTTCCAGCTTCACCAGGCATGGGGAGCTTAAAGGGTTAACGGGATGCAGGGGTGTTATCTCCAGCTTAGGGCATTCCCTCTGCAAGATGATCTGGCTCAGATCTTAAGTTACCTCCTGCCCCAGCCAGCACATCTGCTGTTGGCTCTGCAGCCTTGCTCTCTATGGAGTGGGGTCGGTCGGCAGCCCAGGGGAATACTTGTCTGCTAGGCTTGGGCGAGGAGGCTAAGGCCCCAGGGACTGCTGTTCCCCTATTCCTTGTCCCTCAATGCCACCTCCTTTTCTAACAAGTGGGCTCTCTCCTTCTGTTGCCCAAGCCTAGGATTCTATATCACATACATTCGTTCATTGCTGACCTGGCCACCCCCCTGGCTTCTTAAGGGGACCAAAGTTCTCACTTAGGATCTTTTAAAAAGGACAGTGTGGTATCTAACTCCCCCAAACTCCTTTTCACAAGTGCCCGTGCAGGAAGCAAAGGTACCTAAGGAGGAACCGAAAACCTACAAACTGGTCCCTTTCAGACCTTTCAGGATCTTGTGAGCCTATGGAGCAGGCCAGGCCCATCTGGCTCCAGCATCGCTCTATTGGCCGAGGAGACAACAGAAGGCTGATAAGAGAGGGAAGCCTTCCCAGGTGTTATCAAGGTCTAGTGGAAAGCCAAGGACAGAGAAGCAAGAAAGCAGCATTAAGGCTTCCTGTACCCCAAAGGACTGGGACCCAGCTTCCTGGTGCGAGCTAGCTAAGAGCAAATTCTGGCTCCCCTCCCAAAGTCACCCTCAAGTCACAGACAGAGACACAGGCATTGTCAAGGCTCGAGATCACCCATGCAACCCATCTGAATGCCATAAAAAATCAGTTATGCGTGAACATGCATTTGGTGCTTACAGCCTCAGTTCCACGGTGACTGCAAATATGAGTTTATATACTCCCTAATTCTAGTCCTCACAGACCTGTGCTTGTAACAGTGAATTGTGGGTGACCAACATCATCACGCAAAGCCCTGGACACACGTGTGTATATACACCTACTCTGGACCAAAGGCGAGCCTGTCAGAGTGTTAGAGTCCAAGTCCCACAGCTGGCTACTGTCCATGCGTACCTATAGTCCTGGCTAATGTTCAAAGCCCAACAGGTGATGCAGATACCTCTCTGCCCCCTTCCTCAGTTAGGAGGTTTTCAATTTGCCAAGTTAACCAGGAAAGATACAATCAGAGGAGTAGACGCTATAGTCACACCTCCCTTGGGTGTTTTCTATTTGTGCTGAACAATGAACATTAGTCAGCTGCTAAACAATGGCAGCATCATTGATGCAGCAATGGGAGCCGACCCTCTGGCCCTCCATCCCAGCCCACTGGCTCAGCTGCGGGTACAGCCATGCTGGCAGCCTACAACTGGGCCCACAGGCCAGGCAGCCCAGGCGATGGCCCAGGTGGACTCACTGTGAAAGCCAAGTGGCCAAGGAAGGAACTGGCCACCTACAGCTGGTCCCAGCTTGCTTTAGGGAACCACTGGCTCCATGTCCCACATTTTGAACCAGTCCAGGTTCAGAAACCTTCTAGGCCACTCGGCCAGGCCTACTGGGCCCGAGCTCTGCAGTGTCCAGCCTACCCTCCAGCCTTGAGGGTTAGGCCTTGAATCTGACTCAGATGTTCTCCACAAGGCTGCCTGACTAATAGGCTTGGAGACTGCTGTTTGACACTGCAAGCCCCAGGCCAGGAGAATGGATTCTGCTATAATGCCTGGCCCGGTAAAACCCAAGCCCACCTTGGTCTCTGAGAAACAGGCAAGAGGAAGAGAACCCAACAGCTCAGCTCTGGGGGCTTCAAAGGACACCACCAGGAAGGGGTGCTGTGCACAGGCGGCCTACGGAGAACGAGAGCTGTGGCCCGACAGGTCTTTGCATGGTGAGCTTGACACCTAGGGTGTGGGTTTTCTTTCTAGACCAAAGGTGTGGGGAAGCCAATTACAGAGGGTGTGGTATAGGCGGGACACCTACTTCCCAGGCAGCTGCTTCAGCCCTTCCTCTTCAGGTTCCCATCCCTCTGTGGATGACACTGACCCTCTCCTCTAAGTGAGCGCCCTAGAAGAAGCCTGTCACCTCAGGAAACCAAGACTCCTGGGCTTTTTTTTCCCTACCTGTACTGACCGTCCTACAGAAACATACTTCTCTGTGTACACTTCAAGAGCCACGTCGTCGGCTGTGCTATGAAGTCAGGAGTCATCGCACACACTGGGGGCGCCTTCCTCTCCACTTCTATGATGCTTCCTCCCTGTCACAGCCCAGGAGAACCCAGGGAAGAGCAGCAGACCGGCAAACCCCCAGTGAGAGGCCGGAGCAGGAAGAAGCCCAGGAAGGGAGAGGGAGGTGCACACAGTGGGGATGAGCTGCCAACTGCGCCTCTGATTTTCTCGGCCGGAGGATGAGACTGAGTGTAGCCATGCCTACCTGCTTTCTGTCACAGTGGCCCTCCGAAGCCAGGCAGAGCAGCAGGCACACGGGAGCAGGCTCCATCTAGGAGCTGGGGCAGTCCAGGAACTTCGGCTGCCACAGATACACCCGTCCAATCACAGTCAGTGGCAGAGCACTTATTAAACGCCCCTTGGCTGTGATTCCATTCTGGGCACCCCAGCTCCTCGTTGGGAGTTTTGGCGGGGGAGCATCCGCTTTGAGGCAGGTGAGTGTCACCTCCCTGTCTCCCCGTTGTTGTGTGGGCGGAGCACACCAGGGCCTCTAATCCCCAAGGATGGAATTAAACGTGCTTCAACCCCAAATGGGAAATAGAGCAACAGACAGAAAGGGGTGAGCCTCCTTCCTCATGCCCTCTGGCCCTTTGTCCATCCCAGGATGAGGTTAACCCCGAGTGTGCTAGGAATCCTTAGGGCTCTTGGCAAGTTCTCCCTGCTCTGGGTTCTGGGAAGGGTTAGGGATTTAAAAGGTTCTCTAAAGCCCGACCTACGCTGACCAGGTGAATTCTAGAGGCTGAGTTTCTGTGTGTGTGCTGCAGTTGACATCATCGGCAAGAAAGTGGGTGAAGTCCTCTCACTCCCACCCAGCCCACACTGGTGGAAGGTTCAGCATGCTCCTGTGGACAGTGACATGGAATGTCCCCTCCTGGGACACCCAAGAGGGGAGCACTCCACACTGGCCCATATCCCCGCTTTCCCAAATTGCGGCTGGCATCCACCACTGATGGAGAGGTGCAGTGCCCCAGCAGCGAGCTGGCAGGAGGAGGAGGAGGAGGCAGTAAAGGAAGTAAATGAGGCCAGGCTTTCTTGTCTTCCAGGAGTGCATCCAAACCACACCTGGGCAGTCAGGCCAGCCTCTTCCGAACAAACTGCCTGGCAAGCCCGCAGAAGCCCAGTGGCCAGTGGCTGGGAATCCAATAGTCTTAATTCGGCACCTTTTTCCGCCATCCCGAGTTGATGACCACCAGCCACAGACAAGCTTCCCCTACCCGCCCCCCCAAGGCCCCATCATGCTAGGGCCAGAGCTCATCTCAGGTTTGTTTGGGGGTGGGGTGGCTAGAGAAATACTTCCCCCACCTTGGCCCACATTAGTGTCCTGCTGGCAGCCCAGTTGCTTCCCCAGGGACACAAGGGGTTAAATCCAGGCAAGGGGACTCGGTAGGATTTGCCTCCTAAACGCATTTTCCAGTTCATTCCCCAGCACAATATGCCTGGGCCGGTCCCAGCCTCCGCCCCCACCTCATCCGTCAGAAAGGGCCACCACGGGCCACCCCAGGGTCGGGCGCGGAGTTAACCCCTCTTCTGCCGGCAGCTCACACCTCGAGGAAAGACTCGCGGGACACCCTCGGGGCCTCTTGGGAAAGTGGGTCATGCGGCCACCTGGCTGGCATGAAGCCCATGGAGCTTCCTCCTGGGGGAGCCCTCCGCTTTAGAAGTGGAGTTCCAAGGCGGAGCCCAGTCCCGCGCAAGGCCGGGAGTTTGTGATCCCCAGGCGGCCCGGCCTCACCCTCCAGAAAAGGAACCGCAGGTGAGCAAGACGCTGCCTGTGCCGCAGGAGCCGCTCCGAGCGCCCGCTGTGGGGCGATGTGGGGCAAGAGGGGGCCCCCCGCGAGCCCGAAACCATCTGACAAGAGGCCGCCAAAAGAAACGAAGCCCCCTGCAACCCTCCAAGCCCATAGCCCACCAGCTCGGAGACTGACGCCCTCCCCCTGGGGCTGTTGTCTCATACCCCGAGCCTGTGATTACGGTGATTATTTTGCATTTATGTAACACTCAGTGTTTCCAAACTGCTTCTCGAGCTGAGAACTGGTTATTAAATAAATAGAACCCTATTACATATTATTATTTTTGTGAAGAACTGAGCGGAGAAAGTGCTTTCTTGCTACATAGAGACGTGCATCCGATTGCTTCCCTGCAGGGCAAGCTGTTTGGCTTCTCAGCCCTTTTCTCCACGGTGCCACCTCCAGCCCCCACTCCTTATCCAAGCGTGACCCAACTTTTCTGGCTCCGTTCGCTCCCTACAACCCAGTCGTGCCCGTCATCCAGCTCCCAGTCCCGGGGAGGCTCTGGTTGGGTGGGAGGTATGGAGGGGAGGCAGAGGCGATCGTCTTACCTGGGAAGAAGAAGGCAGCCAAACCGAGAGCGAGTCCCCACCAGCGTCCAGCGGCGCCCGCAAGCCCCATCCGAGCCATCGGAGGGCGGGGGTCCGGCGAAAGGGGCGGCCAGGAGGGCGCTCCTCGCGCTCCAGAAACCAGCCTGGAAGACGAGGGCGGATCGCTGGCGGCCGGCTGGCGCTCGGAGGATCCAGGTCAGCCGCAGCCGTCGGCCTGGGCGGGATGGGCTGGGTGGGATCCGCGCGGCCACAATCCGGGCCCGGGCTGCCGCCGGCTCAGAGCCTCGGCAGATGCCCGCCGCAAGTTGCACGAGTCATGCCCCCTTCGCCTCCTCCGCTCTCCTCCTCGCCCCGGTCCCCGCCCTCTTCTTCCACGCAGAGCCGGGCTGGGGAGAGGGACCCACCCCCGGCGCGCCCGGCTGCCCGGCTAGCGCGGCGCAGGCTCCCGGCCCTGGGCGCGCTCACACCCTCCCGCTCAGCTCCAACTTGCAGGCGTCCATGGCCGGCCGTTCTCCGAGGGTGGCCGGGCGGTGCGGAGGGCTCGGGGCCCAGGCGGTGGTGTGTGGCTCCGGCGGCCAGCTGCCCTCGAGGCTCCGGGCTGCGCGGTCTTGGAGGAGCAAGGGGAGCGAGCCAGGTGCGCCAGGGGTCCCCACCACTGCCGCTGCGCCCGGTGCGGGCGATCCGCAACAATGTGGAGCTGCCTGGGAGCCGAGGCGAGCCGCGCTTGCTGCTCTCCCTCTCTTTCTCTCACTCGCCGATCCAGCCTCTCACCCGCTCTCCCGTGATGTCAGCCCGGGGGGAGGGGTTAGCGTTAACCCCCTCCTGGCTCCCACGCGCCCGGCCCAACCCTGGCCCGGCCTCCGCCCGCGCGCCTGCACCTCCCAACCCCAGGCACCTCCGGCTGCGAGCGTGGCCGTGGGGTCCCGCTCAGGCCCCCTCGCTAGCGAGATGCCCCTTGAGTCGCCTTTCGGCAGTGGAGAGGGCTGGAGGGCGGGCTGCCCTACCCGGTCGCTGACAAAGGGAGGCAGTGACCCCTAGCGGCCGGCAAGGGGGAGAAGCTGCTCGGTAGGGGTGGAGTTAAGATGGGGAGGGGGGCGGCCGTGGGGAGCCGTGTGAACGCTGGATCTGGCATTGTCCGAGCTCCGAGGGCTTTTCCAGCCCTCTCCTCCAACCCTGGGCCCATTTTGCAGATGAAGAAACAAAGGTACAGAGGAGGGCGTAGAGAGTGGTCCGGGGCAGAAAGAAGAGGATAACAGTCTAGAACCCAGCTGTCAAAGCTTCTGCTCCAAGATACGGACACAGGACAGAACCAGCTTAGCGGAGACCCAACCGCGAAAGCTGTGGAGAAGCGGAGGGAAGGCATTAGTGGATGAGATCAGGGCACTCAGATTTCTAGTGGGACTTCTTTTATAATCCTCATTGCCTTCAGGGGGTCCTTGTCCCGAAATTGAAGCATTCTGCTTTCCCCAAAGAGCAAGAAAGCAAGTCGGCTCCCATTGCCCGCACCTCGTTTCTGAGCGGTTTGCGGGATTCCCGCGAAAGTGGCCCATCCAGTCGGTGTCCCAGAACGGCCAGGACTCTCCGCCCCATCCTGTTCGCCACCCACCACATCCGGGTGGCTTCTTGCCAAGGTGACTGAGCCGGAGGGGCCCATAGCAGTCTGAAGCCTGGACCTTCGGTTCCCCATCCTTGGCCTGGGAGCGGCAGACAGACAGGGTTTCCCAGTCAAGAGAGCTGAACACTCCCAGGAGGCCTGACCAGACAACGCCCCCTCTGCCCTTTGCCCAACCCCAAGGGCACAGAGGCATAGGAAGCAGCCACATTCTGATAAAATGTAAATTTCCCTTTCCGAGAGTGGGAGGGGCCTGAGGGTGGAGGAGGGTGACACTTTCCCACTCCTGGGCTCATGGCCTCCTAAAGAAGTCACTCCACGCACAGGAACACTCACTCTCTGCAGCCTTTTAAGTTTCACATGTGTAACTCAGGACCGACTTCATAACACACTAGCTGCCAGACCTGCGGATGCATTGCGTGGTCTCGTCGTTGGTCCTTGCCCATCAGGAGCTGGGTCTGGTCCGGGGAGGGACACAGAAACAGAAGTTCTGAAGAATCATTCACCACAGTGTAGTAGGTTTTCAGAATCACCAGGGAAACATCTACTTTAGCCTGGGCTGGGCTGGGCTGGGCTGGACCCTTCTGTGGGAAGGGAGATCGAGTGGGGGTGGGGCTGACTGAAAGTCTCAATCAGACACACACAGTCCCTCAAGCAACTGGATTGATTGATTGATTGATTGATTGATTGATTGATTTACCTACTTATTTATTTACTTATTTCTGGTTTGTTTCTCTGTTTAGTCATTGCTGTCCTGGAACTCGCTCTGTAGACCAGGCTGGCCTCGAACTCAGAGATCTGCCTGCCTCTTTCTCCCCAAGTGCTGGAATTAGACATTCACCACCACTGCCTGGCTGCAACTGGATTTAAGGTAGGGGTCAGCACAGGGAAAACCACAAAGGTGAGCCACAGCTAAGGTATTAGGGAAGGGGCTCATAAATAATTGGTCCTAACCTGGCCTCATCTAGTGGCAAGGTCAAGTTTGTAGATCAGAATCATGCCAGGTAGTGGCCGCAGGAGGGTCTTAAGCTGGGGAATGCCCTGTTAAATTTAGCAAGTGGTGGCCAGGATCCCAGCCAGGAATCTCCCATCTGGCTGGCAAGTGCTTTTAAGTTTGCCAAAGCCAAAACGAGTTTCTCGCTTGTGCCCGACGCATCATAGGAGCTGAAGGGTTGGGTTCTAGGCGGTGATTCCAGGTACACCAAGTTCTGTCAATTGTCCCTACTTTCTCCACCCACCTTTGCTGGAGATTGCTGTTCTCAACAAGTCTTAAAACCGGGGTGGCGGCACACGCCTTTCATCACAACACTTGAGAGGCGGAAGCAGAGGCAGGCAGATCTCCGAGTTCAAGGCCAGACTGGTCTTCAAAGCGAGTTCCAGGACAGCTGGGGTTACACTGAGAAACCCTGTCTCGGAAAAAAAAAAAAAAAACCCAAAAAAACAAAACCAGGCATATAAAGAGGGTGTGTGTGTTCAGGAGGGACAAACTGCCTGAGGGTGGAGAAGATGCAGGCAAGTGAACAAGGCAGTGCACTACCTTCGGCTGTAAACTCACAGGAAGGCTGCTTGAAGAGGCAACAGTTGACTGCTGCTCTTAAGGCTGGATCAGATTTGAACCTAGGAAGACAGAGAGAGAATTTTGGGAAAATAGTGCAAGAGTGTGGAGCAGTCTGAAAGCAAGGGTTCTGCCTTTGTGAGAACAGCAAGTGGCCTGGTTTGTTTCGAAGTCTGAGGGAGTGTGAGAGAGGGGCAGGTGTGTGCAACCAGATCGCAAAAGATCAGAAAGATTTCCTTTGCTGATAGGAAAATAAGGCCAGGCACCAGGAGGGCACAGGGTGTGGTCCCGACTCTTTTTTTTTTTTTTTTT